AATAAGGGAGGACACAAACAGATGGAGAAACATTCCATGTTCATGGTTAGGGAGAATCAGTATTATGAAAATGGCCATACTGCCCAAAGTAATTTACAGATTCAACACTATCCCCATCAAGCTACCAATGACCTTCTTCACAGAATTGGAAAAAAGAACACTTTAAACTTCTTATGGAACCAAAAGAGAGCCTGTATAGCCAAGTCAATTCTAAGCAAAAAGAACAAAGCTGGAGGCATCACCCTACCTGCCTTCAAACCATACTATAAGGCTACAGTAATCAAAACGGCATGGTACTGGTACCAAAACAGACATATAGACCAATGGAACAGAACAGAGGCTTTGGATGCAATGCCACACATTATAACCATCTAATCTTTGACAAACCTGACAAAAACCAAGCAATGGGAAAGGATTCCCTGTTTAATAAAAGGTGTTGGGAAAACTGGCTAGCAGTGTGCAGAAAGCAGAAACGGGACCCTTTCCTGACACCTTATACTAAAATTGACTCCAGATGGATTAAAGACTTAAACATAAGACCTAACACCATAAAAACTCCAGAAGAAAATCTAGGGAAAACCATTCAGGACATAGGCATAGGCAAGGACTTCATGACTAAGACACCAAAAGCATTGGCAACAAAAGCCAAAATAGACAAATGGGACCTAATAAAACTCCACAGCTTCTGCACAGCAAAATAAACAGTCATTAGAGTGAATCAGCAACCAACAGAATGGAAAAAAAACTTTTGCAATCTATCCATCTGACAAAGGGCAAATATCCAGAGCAGGCGTCCCCAAACTACGGCCCACGGGCCGAATGCAGCCCCATGAGGCCATTTATCTGGCCCCCAGCCGCACTTCAGGAAGGGGTACCTCTTTCACTGGTGGTCAGTGAGAGGAGCAAAGTATGTGGGGGCCCTCCAACAGTCTGAGGGACAGTGAACTGGCCCCCTGTGTAAAAAGTTTGGGGATGCCTGATCCAGAGTCTACGAAGAACTAAAACAGATTTACAAGAAAAAAACAAGCCCATTCAAAAGTGGGCAAAGGATATGAACAGACACTTTACAAAGGAAGACATATGAGGCCAACAAACATATGAAAAAATGGCCAGGCGCAGTGGCTCACACCTGGAATCTCAGCACTATGAGAGGCCAAGGTGGGCGGATCACCTAAGGTCAGAAGTTCGAGACCAGCCTGGCCAACACAGTGAAACCCCATCTCTACTAAAAATACAGAAATTAGCTGGGCATTGTGTTGTGCGCCTGTAATCTCAGCTACTCAGGAGGCTGAAGCAGGAGAACTGCTGGAACCCAGGAGGCAGAGGTTACAGTGGGCCAAGTTTATGCCACTGCACTCCAGCCTTGGTGACAGAGCGAGACTCCAACACAAAAAACAAACATATGAAAAAATGCTCATCATCACTGATCATTAGAGAAATGCAAATCAAGACTACATCGAGGGCCGGGTGCGGTGGCTCAAGCCTGTAATCCCAGCACTTTGGGAGACCGAGGCAGGTGGATCACGAGGTCAAGAGATCGAGACCATCCTGGTCAACATGGTGAAACCCCGTCTCTACTAAAAATACAAAAAAATTATCTGGGCATGGCGGCGCGTGCCTGTAATCCCAGCTACTCAGGAGGCTGAGGCAGGAGAATTGCCTGAACCCAGGAGGCGGAGGTTGCAGTGAGCCGAGATCGCGCCATTGCACTCCAGCCTGGGTAACAAGAGCGAAACTCCGTCTCAAAAAAAAAAAAAAAAAAAAAAAAAAAGACTACATCGAGATATCATCTCACGCCAGTTAGAATGGCTATCATTAAAAAATCTGGAGACAACAGATGCTGGAGAGGATGTGGAGAAACAGGAACACTCTTACACTGTTGGTGGTAGTGTAAATTAGTTCAACCATTGTGGAAGACAGTGTGGCGATTCCTCAAGGACCTAGAAATAGAAATTCCATTTGACCCAGCAATCCCACTACTGGGTATATCCAAAGGACTATAAATCGTTCTATTATAAAGACACATGCAAACGAATGTTTACTGCAGCACTGTTTACAACAGCAAAGACCTGGAACCAACCCAAATGCCCATTGATGACAGACTGGACAGGGAAAATGCGGCACACATACACCATAGAATACTATGCAGCCATAAAAAATGACAAGTTCGTGTCCTTTGTAGGGACATGGATGAATCTGGAAACCATCATTCTCAGCAAACTGCCGTAAGAACGGAAACTCTAACACCGCATGCTCTCACTCAGAGGAGGGTGATGAACAATGGGAACACATGGACACAGGGAGGGGAGCACTACACACTGGGGCCTGTTGGGGGGAAATGGAGGAGGGACAGCGGGGGGTGGAGAGTTGGGGAGGGATAACATGAGGAGAAATGCCAGATATAGGTGATGGGGAGGAAGGCAGCAAACCACACTGCCGTGTGTGTACCTATGCAACAGTCTTGCATGTTCTTCACGTGTACCCCCAAACCGAAAATGCAATAAAATACGTATTTTTACAAAATAATAATTTTTAAAAAATTTAAAAAAGATACAGAACAGTTCCATCAGTCACCTCTAAAAAAATGTCCCTGCAACTCAGCAACCATTGGCCAGGTTTTCTTGTCCTTACAGTTTTGCCTTTCCCAGAACACCCTATAACTTGAATCACAGAGTATGGAGCCTCCAGGTCGGGGCTGGGGCTTCCTTCACTTAGCAAAATGCTTCTGAGATCCATCCATGTTGTTGCCATTAGTAGTTTGTCCCTTTTCATTGATAAGTAGTATGTTATTGTATGGGCATGCCATATTTTCTTTATACACTTAGCAGCTGAAGGTGATGTGAGTTATTTCCTGTTTTTGGAGATCATGAATAAAGCTACTGAGCAGGAGATTTAAGGGTAGGGAATGGGTCTCTTTTCTGAAGGTCTCTAGCACATATCTTTTTTTCTCCTTTTTTCGAAAAAGGATGTCTCTCTGTTGCCCAGGCTGGAGTGCGGTGGTGTAGGTGAGGCTCACTAAGGCCTCAACCTTTCACACTACAGGCTCTGCCTCTCTACTAGCTGGAACTACAAGTGCGTGCATTTTTAGCAGAGATGGGATTTGTGTTGCCCAGGATAGTCTCGAACTCCTGGGCTCAAGCAATCCTCCACTAAGCCTCCCAAATTGTTGGGATTACAGGCATGAGTCACTGCACTCAGCCCTTCATCACATATCTAAACTCACAACAATCATCAGAGGTAGGTGTAACAGGTGTTACTGTTATGACCTCCATTTAACAGATGAAAAACACTGAACCAAATACAAGTGAAAAATTGGGCTTTTAAAATGGATTTTCAAGGCCAGGCGTGGTGGCTCACACCAATAATCCCAACACTTTGGGAGGCCAAGGCAGAAGGATCACTTGAGTCCAGGAGTTCAAGACCAGCCTGGGCAACAGGGCAAAACCGTCTCTACCAAAAATACAAAACAAAATAAGATGAGCGTGTAGTCCCAGCTACTCAGAAGACTGAGATGGGAAGATGATTTGAGCCCAGGAGGCAGAGGCTGCAGTGAGCTGAGATTGTACCACTGAACTTCAGCCTTGGTGACGCAGTGAGAACCTGTCTCAAAAATAGTAATAGCAATAATAAAATGAGGCTGGGTGCAGTGGCTCATGCCTGTAATCCCAGCACTTCAGGAGGCTGAAGCAGGCAGATCACCTCAAGTCAGGAGTTCAAGACCAGCCTCACCAACAACAGGGAGAAACCCTGTCTCTACCAAAAATACAAAATTAGCCAGGCGTGGTGGCACATGACTGTAATCCTAGCTACACGGGAGGCTGAGGCAGGAGAATCACTTGAATCCAGGAGGTGGAGGTTGCAGTGAGCAGAGATCATGCCATTGCACTCCAGCCTGGGTGACACAGTGAGACTCCATCTCAGAATAAATAAAGAAATTAGTAATAAAATGAATTTTCATATAGTTTGGTATGGTTAGTAAGTTTCAGCAGGCAGATTGTTAGGGTAAGATGGATTGTTATGTATATATTTATACATATATAAAAATATGTATATTTAAGCCAGGTACAGTGGCTCATGCCTGTAATCCCAGCACTTTGGGAGGCTGAGGTGGGTGGATCACCTGCGGTCAGAAGTTTGAGACCAGCCTGGCAAACATGGCGAAACTCCATCTCTATTAAAATAAAATGTGTATTTATATACTTTATTTATATATTTATTTATTTTAGCAGAGACAGGGTCTCCCTATGTTGGCAGGCTGGTCTCAGACTCCTGAGCTCAAGCAATCCTCCCACCTCAGCCTCCCAAAGTGCTCACATTGCAGGTGTGAGCCACCACGCCTGGTCTCATAAGGGGAATTAAAGGAACTCTCTACTATGATGTCCCTTCTCCTAATCCCTTTCCCCATGTAGAAGAGGGTTCTGTTGACTGGCATTCGCTTACATTTCTCAGTGCTATGCCCAGTGTAATGGAAATGCACTAGCTCAAGAGCCCAGGGATTTCAGTTCCAGGCCAAGCTCATCCACTAACTGAGAGTCAGTCAAACCTCTCTGGATTTCAGATTCTTCATCTGAATAATGTAGATAACACTTATCCCATAGTACACGGTAAAGATGATTCATGACAGTGAACAAGTTAGTTTCCCTTCAGATATTAAGAATGAGGGCCAGGCACACTGGCTCATGCCTGTAATCCCAGCACTTTGAGAGGCCAAGGAGTGCGGATCACAAGGTCAGGACCAGCCTGGCCAATATGGTGAAACCCCATCTCTACTAAAAATACAAAAATTAGCCGGGCGTAGTGGCAGGCGCCTGTAATCCCAGCTACTCAGGAGGCTGAGGCAGAATAATTGCTTAAACCTAGGAGGCAGAGGTTGCAGTGAGCCAAGATTTCGCCACTGCACTCTAGCCTAGGGGACAGAGCAAGACTTCAACTCAAAAAAAAAAAAAAAACAATGGGATTAGAGAAGCCCTTTGTTCCTCCTTGAAGAACACCTGATGTACCTGAACTCTTTGTTGGTGACAGGAAATATGTCAATGGCAAAGGGTTTCACTGTCACTTCCCGCACAGGCCCTTCACCATCTCTGCTGTCTGGAGAATTTGTTCCCATCAGGAATCTCCCACCTGGCAGCTGGACCATGCTAGTAGCCTGTCCATTTCCTGCAGACAAAAAAGAGAGCTATTAGTAATACATGCACACATACAAAACAAGTGGTAGTATTTGGATCATATGCAACACTCATGACAGTGTAACAAAACAAACAAAAAACATGGAGGCCTAAAAATCTGGCTTTAAATTCCTTTTGTGTTTTGTTTGTTTGGCTTCACATTCTTGTCTGCCACTTAATTTGCTGGGAAACCTTAGGCAAATTACTTAATTTGAGATTCAATTTTTCTTTTTTTTTTTTTTGGTGACAGGATCTTGCTCTGTCACCCAGGCTGGAGTTCACTGGTGCAATCTTGGCTCACTGCAACCTCTGGCCCCGTGGGCCGAAGCAATCCTCACACCTCAGCCTTCCGAGTAGCTGGGACCACAAGTGTACACCACCATGCCTGGCTAATTTTTGTACTTTTTGTAGAGATGGGGTTTTGCTATGTTGCCCAGGCCGGTCTCAAACTCCTGAGCTCATGTGATCCTTCCACCTCAGCCTCCCAAAGTGCTGAAATTACAGGTGTGAGCCACCACACCCAGCTGAGATTCAATTTCAGCTGAAAAATGGGGATATCTATGAATGGCTGACTTCTTAATAAAAGAAAAAAAAAGGTATGCAAAATGGGGACAATATCTCACTATCTCTTAGGTAGTAGCTCTATCAATTAAAATAACACGGAACCAGGTGCAGTGGCTCAGAGACAGGGTACAGAGGCTGAGACAGGAAGACTGCTTGAGCCCAGGAGTTCCCGGTTGCAGTAAGCTATGATTGTGTCACTGCACTCCAGCCTGGGTGACAGAGCAAGACCCTGCCTCAAAAAATAAAAAATATTGGGAGGTCAGTGTGGGCGGATCACAGGGTCAAGAGATAAAAACTATCCTAGCTAACACAGGTGAAACCCTGTCTCTACTAAAAATACAAAAAATTACCCAGCCGTGGTGGCACCCACCTGTAGTCACAGCTACTTGGGGGGCTGAGGCATGAGGCAAAAGAATCGCTTGAACCTGGGAGGCAGAGGTGGCAGTAAGCTGAGATTGCGCCACTGCACTCCACCCTGGGCAACGAAGTGAGACTCCGTCTCAGAAAAAAAATTTTTTAAATTAAAAGATAAAAATAAAATAGCATAGGTGAAATGTTGAGCACATGGCAGATTTTCACTCACTTACCTCTTTCTTCCTCTACACACGCCCTTGCCCCAGCTAGGCGAATTTAGACACTCTACCCTAAAATACATCTAGCACTTTCTACCCATCCTTCTGCTCATGCTGTTTCTCTGCCTCTTCCTCTCCACGTACTGAACTCTTACCAGTTCTCAGTGACTCTCACCATTACATGCTCCAGAAAGGAAACATATAATACATATATTTTTGCCAGTGTATCTCTGGCCCCTCTAATCTTTGGCTCTCTTACTTTGACACACACTGATTTAACCATTTTCAGTTTCTTCAACAAATATTTCGCAAAGGGGAAAAAAGGAGCATCCGGGCGTGGTGGCTCACGCCTGTAATCCCAACACTTGAGGAAGCTGAGGCAGGAGACTGCTTGAGGCTGCAGTGAGCTAAGATGGCACCACTGCAGTGCAGCCTGGGCAACAGGGCAAGACCTCGTCCCCCGCCCCACCAAAAATAAATAAATAAATAAATAAATAAAAGGAGTAAGCAGGGAAATCTCAGATTGAATCAGAATTAAGAAACAACATACGGCCGGGCGCGGTGGCTCACGCCTATAATCCCAGCACTTTGGGAGGCCGAGGCGGGTGGATCACGAGGTCAAGAGATCGAGACCATCCTGGTCAACATGGTGAAACCCCGTCTCTACTAAAAATACAAAAAAATTAGCTGGCCATGGTGGCGCGTGCCTGTAATCCCAGCTACTCAGGAGGCTGAGGCAGGAGAATTGCCTGAACCCAGGAGGCGGAGGTTGCGGTGAGCCGAGATCGCGCCATTGCACTCCAGCCCGGGTAACAAGAGCGAAACTCCGTCTCAAAAAAAAAAAAAAAAAAAAAATACAATCGCAATGTATGAGCTTTATTTTGACCGTAATTTAGCCAGCAAACGTTAAAAGCCGTTTATGAGATCATAGATGAATTTGAACAGACTGGATACATCATTAGGGAGCACTGTCAAATTTTTAGGTGAGAAGAGGTAATAACATTTTCGTGACTTATTTTGAGTATTCGAGCTGAATGTTCAGAATAAAATGGGATAACGTCTGGACCCACTTCCAAAGGGCTCCAAGAGAAGGGCGAGTTCGATTCCGCAGGAGCAGGACTGGCCACAAACTGGCAGCTATCTAAGCTGGCCGACGAGGACGCGGGGCGGGGCCGTCCCTCACTAATGTCTCCTTTTTCCCTTTTCTAGGTCGAAAGGTCTCAGGGCAAGACGTCTGAAAGCACAAGCGGCGCGGCACCGGGCGCACCCGGAGCGACCTGCCCAGCCAGCCGCGGCAGGCGCATCTCCGAAGCGAGCAGGGCGGCCTCGGGCTCTCTCCTTCAGGGCGCAGCGCCCCTTCCCCTTCCCAGCGACCCCGGTACGGGCGGACGGCTCACTGACCTAGCCTGAGCAACGCGCTAACCAGGAGCAACAGCAGGAACAGCACCTGCGTCCAACCACCCATGCCGGCATCAGGACTGGCGCGGTGCCGTACGCCGCGCGCACCCACGGCCCCGCTGCGCATGCGCCCGGAGTAGTCGCCCCGTAAGTACGCATGCACGCACCGCGTCGGTCACCGCCCCCTACGCACGCACGCACCGCGTCGGTCACCGCCCCTTACGCACGCACGCAACGCGTCGGTCACCGCCCCCTACGCACGCACGCACCGCGTCGGTCACCGCCCCTTACGCACGCACGCACCGCGTCGGTCACCGCCCCCTACGCACGCACGCATCGCGTCGGTCACCGCCCCCTACGCACGCACGCATCGCGTCGGTCGCCGCCCCCTACGCACGCACGCACCGCGTCGGTCACCGTCCCCTACGCACGCATGCGCGCAGCTCCAGCGCCCGCCCAGCACCCGACAGCTTAGCAGGGGTAATCGGACAGCCGCGAACCGGAGGACTGGCCACACCGCCTGCAGGGCCGCCCAGGAAATCGAGAAACAGCGCGCGGAGGGTCCCTGCCGTCCTAGAAGCCCCTTCACTACTTTTCTGAACCTTTGGACAGTTTACATCCCCTTTGAGATTGCTTTTGTGCGTCACACCATTGCAAGACCACAAAGGAGGTTTCAACTTAACATTTATTGCACACTCACTGCAGGCCACTGCGGAGCCCTCAGAATACACAACCTGGTGACAACTTCACCTTCAAGGACTGCAGAGGCACACCAACTGTATAAACAATCCCGTGGAAACGGAGTCATTTGGGTGAGAAAAAGACGACGCTAGAGCTTTGGGAACGCGTATTTTGCATAAGCAAAATCTCAGAAGTTTGAAAATACAGCCAGCAAATCTCAAATTCCGTCAATAACCGTAGCCCTCAGTCACCACGCCTTCCACTACTTTTTTGCCTCTGCCTCTTCTGTTTTTGCCCTTTGACACTTGCAGCGCTCTCAACTCCCTTGCCTCTAGTTTACTCTTGTGTTCCCATTTCCTACAACTTAACTTAGTGGGGGGAGCATTTTAGCAAAGCCATTTCAAAAGCATGAAAAGTCCATCTGATCCAATGAATTTACTCAGAAATTTATACTAACAGGGAGGCTTTCAAAATTTTAAATTACTTAAGCGTTATTTATATTAGCATAAAAATCTTAAAACCAAATGCTTATACCAATAGGGTACTGTTGGGTAATTTAACATACATCCACATGAAACTATTAAACCATTAAAATTTGTTTTTCAAGGAATATTTAATAACAAGGTAGGCAACATATGCTTATCTAACATGGAATTTTATGTCACTGCTGCTAAAGCAAAACATCCTGTTCACTGGGTGAAAGACCTGCTTTATGTGTGTACACTTCAGTGCAATTAAAAAAAATCCTGTAATTATAATTTTGGAGCTTCTCAATTTCAACAGATGCCAGTATTCTCTTTTTTCATATGGGAAAATTCCTTTGAAAATCATTTGAAGCTTGGACAAAAATTCCACAGCTGTATTCCTCAGGATCACTCTGCAGAGTCTTCAAGATCCAGATACAGAGGAAGCTTCAGTTCAACCTTTCAGAGAAGACATCCCAGCTCTCATGATCTCATCCACCAAGAGAATGTTGGTGGCAATCACAGTGCTGAAAGGGCGACAAAAATTACAAGGCTTAGATGATGAGAAGCCCTAATTTGACTGAACTTCCCACTTCCAACGAAGCTGCACACATCACATCCAATCAAACGTCCCCTTCCCTCTACACATCAGAGCTCTGGCTACTTGAGTTTCCATTCTTCCAGCTGAGTACATTATTCGTGGAGGAAAAGGAACAACTAAACAGAATACACCAAATGAAAAGCGTATGAAGATTCTCCAACAGTTTAGTTTTCACTTCCCCAACTTACCAGGAGTGAAGAAGCTGTTTCTTTACACAGTAGTTATCCCATACGCCTACTTCTGCTGCTACCATGGGCTCACCTAAAAGGCAACCAAATCAGTCGGTAAGAACCAACACTATTGTGTGCGGCTTTGCTTATCACTGATGACTCATTTCCTCCAGTATTAACTATGAGGATTCAAACCTTCTCCGTTGGCCGTTTTCTACTCTAAATCATGACCCCTATTCACAATATTTGATGAGCGTCTGACTTCTACTTAAAAGACCTGAACACCCCCCTCTCTTCTGGATACATTTCTGTTTACCCATACTGGAGTAGAGCACTTCAACTATAATCTAGCTAAAATGGACTATCATCTCCCTCATTCCAGGAACCTTTTCTTTTTTTTTTTTTTTTTTTTTTTTTGAGACGGAGTTTCGCTCTTGTTACCCAGGCTGGAGTGCAATGGCGCGGTCTCGGCTCACCACAACCTCCGCCTCCTGGGTTCAGGTAATTCTCCTGCCTCAGCCTCCTGAGTAGCTGGGATTACAGGCACGCGCCACCATGCCCAGCTAATTTTTTTTTTTGTATTTTTAGTAGAGACGGGGTTTCACCATGTTGACCAGGATGGTCTTGATCTCTCGACCTCGTGATCCACCCGCCTCGGCCTCCCAAAGTGCTGGGATTACAGGCTTGAGCCACCGCGCCCGGCCTTCCAGGAACCTTTTCTATTAAGTCATGTTGACAACAGGTCTTGCACTTACTGCATGGGTGTACCCATTATCTGTCTCCTACTGTGTACTTGTGTAATATGTGTTGTTTTGTTACAGGGACTTAAGATTAGGGCTGTCACCATTTCATTCGATTTCTAGATCCCCTTTTCTGGCATTATTTACTATCTTTAGCTGTTTTTCACCCATGAATATAATCACCGTATCTATTTTCTTATCATAGTATTTGATTAAAGACTGAGTAAGGCTACAGTATGAAAATCCTTCAACATTAATCTGAACCAGCTACCACCACTCAACATCTCCAACAAAACTGTATCCCAAAAGTATTCATGTCTAACTCTATTCCCTTAATTATAAATAACTAGTCATTCCATTTTTTATTAATATCCTAGTTTATCCCATTTTAGAGAACCCAGAGTTTCCCTAAGAGTACTGGTGTCAAATTGCAAAGCAAAAGATTGTTTTTTGGTCCCATTTTTCATCTTTGCTGGCTTCAACTCACATGCATTGTATCTAGTTTTCCCTGCACAAGCAGCTGCATTCTCTTACCTGTGTTGAGGTCCACACCCACAAGGTGACCTGATTCTGAATGTTCTGCTTGAATTTTAACTAGTGTTTCCTGAAGGTCAAAACCAGAGTTCTGAGCAAGAACCTAAAGTAAACAAATGTAATTCTTGAGAAAACAGAAACTAAGAATTGATAGTAGAAAGAGAAAGAGAGAGAGAGAGAGAGAGAGAGAGAGAGAAAAGAAAACTCAGCCGGGCGCGGTGGCTCAAGCCTGTAATCCCAGCACTTTGGGAGGCCGAGGCGGGTGGATCACGAGGTCGAGAGATCGAGACCATCCTGGTCAGCATGGTGAAACCCCGTCTCTACTAAAAATACAAAAAATTAGCTGGGCATGGTGGTGCGTGCCTGTAATCCCAGCTACTCAGGAGGCTGAGGCAGGAGAATTGCCTGAACCCGGGAGGCGGAGGTTGCGGTGAGCCGAGATCGCGCCATTGCACTCCCGCCTGGGTAACAAGAGCGAAACTCCGTCTCAAAAAAAAAAAAAAAAGAAAAAGAAAAAAAGAAAACTCGACCAGGCGCGGTGACTCGCAACTGTGATCGCAGCAGTTTGGGAGGCTGAGGCAGGTAGATCACCTGAGGTCAGGAGTTCGAGATCAGCCTGGCCAACAAGATGAAACCCCATCGATACTAAAAATACAAAAAAAAAAAAAAAAAAAAAAAGCCAGGTATGGTGACAGGTGCCTGTAATCCCAGCTACTCAGGAGGCTGAGGTTACAGTGAGCTGAGATCACACCACTGCACTCCAGCCTGGGCAACAAGAGTGAAACTCCGTCTCAAAGAAAAGATAATCTCATTGCATGAAGACAAAACATTTATTTGTGTTCCCTTCAGGGAATAACCAGACACAAGTTGCTATCAACTCTCTTACCTACCCCAAACCTAGCAGCAATACACCAGCCATAAATGATATCTCAAAATTAGTATATAATAGAAAACAATGTTACCAGTTTAACTAAAACAAAAACAAAGAGCAAGTCTATACTCAAGTATAACTTCTAATATTGTAAATATTAAACTACAGGTTATCTCTTGGATCTGAAACGTCAGCTATTCAGGCCTCCTAGAGAAACAAAATACATTTGGATGATTAGGAATACCTGTTCTAGAGTAAGGAAGAAAACTGATCAAACTTGCTTATCCAAAATCCACATTATAAATAAAGCCTACATTGTCAAAAAGTTTTGATCAGCTGAATATTTGAAGACTGTTAGAAGTGTGCACACCTTGGGAATAATGAGCAATGCATCAGCAAATGCTTGGACGCCGAGCTGTGCCCTGCCCTTTACACTGGGCTTATATTTCATCAGGGCTTCTGCCATTGCCACTTCCACAGCACCAGCACCTGGAACCACACAGCCTGTTGGATGGGGGAAAAAGAAAAATGCCAAGAAAACTGTAGAACTAATTACAAATAATAAACCACATGAAAGCCATTAATTTCTTACAAATTCACTATGACCACATCAGTTAAAGTACTGCATTTCAAAGTCACAATACAAGCAACTAATACATCAAAATAGAAGGGTTCCACCAGAATGGCTTCACTAGCTGCTGGCAGCTCTTTCAACAGATTGGTATTAGTTCATTTATTTGTATTCACCTTTAATAACGATATGCTATCAAAAACCTTAGCATACCATCTGTCATTCTCAAGGGAAGACTGCTTTTGCATGGTGTCTGGCTGTGTAAACTACTGATAAAAGAACACAGTATTCAGCCATGCCTTTCAGAGCAGCAAAACAATGTAACACAACTGAAATACAGTGAAGATCTTACCATCATCGATAGCATTTTTGACAGCCCTCAAGCCATCCCTTACTGCATCTTTGATCTGAGTGAGTGTGTGCTTATTTGGTCCTTTGATCAATAATGTGACAGAACGAGGGTTGTTACATTTCTCAATAAAAGTGAATTTCTCTT